TTTTTTCTCAAACACTATCAACTTTTACTACTAATCACGTTTTCTTTACATCTCCAAAAATGTTTTTTTTAAGCAGAAACAGTTGCAAACACTCCCTTAGACATCTTATGTTCATTTAATTATGTATTTGTCTATAATAGTTATCACCAATAATAAAATTATGTGATCTATATTAAGCCAATAATATTACCAATGATATTTGTGTATTAAGCCATTCTCATACTTTCTTTTAAACATTCTTAAACACATTTAAAGTGATCCTATATTACTTTAATTGTGCATAGTGAGCTATTTCTAAATTATAACTAAAGTGTACGTGACTATTGTCAAGTGTTGTGTAATAGTATTATTACTATGGTTAATTAGTTGTGTAATAAATAGTATGAGACATGGAGAAGTCTACATATCCATCACTTTTTCATAACAAATTCAATGCATTTTCTTAGTTTTTCTTTTGAGCATTTACTCTACCCAAAAGTAGAATGTCTTTTGTTTCAGTTTCTTTAGCTTGCTTTTTTTTAGCTAGGGACGCTGATCACTCTACCTAAATGCAGCCATGAATTAGTCTTGGAACAAAAAAAATGAAGGACATTTGAGCTATTATTATTTATTTGTAATTCCATGTTGATTGTTTAGATTTCAAAAGAAATGTAGTTAAAAACAAAAAATGGTCTGTTGACAATTTTCTCTGTTTGACAATTTAAAAACAAACAAAATACTAAGTAATGAAAATGAGGGTTTCTTGGATTAACTCATTGGTTTAATAAAAATACATAACTTAATATTTTATTAACTAATTGGTTTAAAAAACTACATATAGAACCAAACATTTTATAACACACTAGATTATCATTTAATTTCTTGAATTGTTTTGCATTTTGTGGATCCCAAGGATCAGTTCACATGTATGTATAATGTATATATTGTATATAAAATCATTGCCACTTCGAATGACACTTTTACACTCTTCCAAGTTTACAAATAATTCTTTTTTTATGAATGTTCCAAAAAGAAGTTCTTATTTCTATAAAAGGAAACCACTTTAGCAAAAAATTTCAACTACCCTTACTTTTTATTTACTTTTTATTTTGATTGACATAAAGCAAGAATACACTTGGAAAGTCAAAGCAAAGTTCTATCTTACATAAATATGTGTATATGTCAAACTAAGAACTTCATTTTGGAACAGAGGGTGTATTTATTTATATCATTATCCATTTTTAAAGTTGAACTTTCTTCACTATTTAGTTTCGAATTTTATTGGCAAAGAGTATTCAACGATTGATGATTTTCACCAATAGCGCTTCATCATATTCATGGTTCATATTTGAAAGTTATAAAATCTTGATAAGTACGGTTTAAGTCAATTGTAATGAAGCCCATTTTAACATCTCTAAGTGGTGCTCTAGAGTTTATCCAATTTACTTGATTGAAAGTACTAGGTAATTTATCTTGAGAGTTCCATTTCATCTATATGTAACTCCTTTTCTGAATATTTTATAACCTCAAATGAAGTAATTTTCTTGGTCAACTATTATTTTGGTGTACTTTTTCACATATTATAATTTTTTATATGCTAAACACCAACATCCTTAATTGGGATGAGTTTCAAACATGTGAGCTACTCATTGGGAGTGTCACAGTGATCTCATAAAACCATAAGGTGCTTGGCGAAATCGAAATACCGTTTTATGAGCGATTATTTCTATTTGTTTTCTTTTTAATTTATCAAATAGTTCTCCAAAGTAGGTTCTTCAACTTTTTGCATATCCATTTATTATCATTTGAGAAGGATAGTAATTTAATTGTCATAATTAATTTATATTTTAGTTCTTACTGAAACTTCACATTTATATAGTCATTTTCAGTGTGACCATCCTGTATTTTTTGTTTTAAGCATTGAAAGACTTTGTTTTATATGTAAAAAGACTAATTTACTATCATTTTTAATTTACATATAAAACAGTTAACCCGTGTGGATGTACGGATACTGTACTAGTTATATTAGATAATAGAGATAAATTTCGAAATATGGATAAAAATGTTTGAGAAATTCAAAATAGGAGCTCAATGTAACATTTTCCTAAATAAGATGTACGGAAAGTACGTCATCTTGACGTTATCAAACTTTAAATATGATAATCAAAAGTTTCAGCATCTTCCAAGTATAAAAGTAATCAATCATACTATCTATTTAGATAATAAAAATATATGTCTTATTTTGAAATGTTAAATACTTTAGATACTACGTAGTATTTAATTTGTCAGCCATTGGTAAATCAATGGGATTAAAATAACATCCTTCTCAAATGCACATAAACAACACATTTTGATATCAGTAACACAATTGATTATCAACCTCCATTTATTTTTACTCCCTACCTTGATGGACATCCATGAATATCTTCCATGCAAGACCCTATAAAAAGACCAGTCAACAATCTAAACATAATAATTAAAAATAGAAAAAATAAATAAATAAATAAAACATGCAGGGTGGCATACTCAGAGCCTCTATTCTCCTCATTGCTGCTGCGGCGGCGATGAGCGTCGCCACCGTGGAGGCGGAAGTTAACGGCAGCGAAAGCGGCCACCTCTCCACGAGCTCGAAGCTTCTGACCGATCTTTCAATGGCTGCCCTGAACAGCCCGGCGGTGGGTTTGTTGGATCCTTTAGGCATTACGAAACAGAGCAGAGATAACATCGTCAAAGCCGCCCTCCGGCTGCCCCAGCCGAAGGACTACATCGCGGCCGCCATCCGCCTTTCTCTGCAGCAGTTTAAGAATGTCATTAACGGAGTCGCGGATTTCGCCAAACTAGCCGATGATTCTTTGAACCGGATGGCCATTGACGATTGCCGGGAGTTGATGAATTACGCCATTGAAGAGCTGCAGGATTCCATGACCTCCGTTGACGAGTGCCCTCTCCTGTCACTGGTCCAACGCCTGAGCGACCTGAAAAACTGGTTGAGCGCCGTCCTGTCTTATTCCAATACCTGCATAGATGGTTTCACCAAGCCTGATCTTCAGTCCGGCATTAATGGCGTCCTGCAGAACAGCATCGCTCATACCGGGCAAGCGCTTTCCATCGTCTCCGCCATTCCTCAAATCCTCACCAGTTTAAACCCACCTCAAAACCAAGCCGTTTCCGCCAGAAAAGGGTATCCCGCCGCTGCTGCCGCTTCCTCTGGCAGCGGCTCCGCCGCCGCCGCCGCTTCCTCTTCCGGCAATGATGCGTCCTCCGGGGAAACAGAGAGTAATGATTCATCGTCATTTTCCTCCTCCGGAGAGGAAAGAAGAGCGTCTAGCTCGGATAGGGAGCACTCCTTTTCCTCCTCCTCCTCCGGGGAGTCAACCATGGTCGGCGGGGAAGAGGACACGGCGAGAAACAGGAGATCGCTCAAGGGAGTTCATTTTCCGGCGTGGATGAAAAAGTCAGACCGCAAAATGCTGATGGCCAGGAACGTCGGCGGGCGCGACGGACAGGTCCGGGGGAGCGTCAGCGTGCAGCCGAACGTGGTGGTGGCGAAAGACGGCAGCGGGCAGTACACAAACATTGCGGATGCCCTGAAAGCTTACAATCCGGGACCAGAAGGAAATGGTACGACAAGATACATTATATACGTTAAAGCCGGAGTTTACGATGAGGACGTTCTGATCACAAGGAAACAACCTAATATTTTCATGTACGGCGACGGCCCTACAAAGACCATCGTCACCGGCAAGAAATGCAACCGTGACGGCGTTTCCACATTCCGAACTGCGCCTTTCGGTACGTTACAGATACTCCATTGCATTAAGAACGTTTTCATATAAAAGCAAATATATTTTCAATTTATCATAACATACTTTCTATCCTTAAACTTTGTAGCTGTGGTTGGGAAGGGATTCATATGCAAAGACATGGGGTTTGAGAACACGGCTGGGCCGGAGGGGCACCAAGCGGTGGCGCTGAGGGTACAATCCGACATGTCGGCATTCTATAATTGTAGAATGGACGGATATCAAGACACTCTGTACACGCAAACCCACAGACAATTCTATAGCAACTGCATTATCACCGGCACCGTTGATTTCATTTTCGGAGACGCTGCGGCAGTCATCCAGAATTCGGTGATCATAGTGAGGAAGCCGATGGACAACCAGCAAAATAGTGTGACAGCGCACGGACGGACGCACATGGCAGAACCCACCGGGCTAGTTATCCAGAACTGTCAGATCATCGCTGAGGATACTCTTGAGGCAAAAAAGGTTGACATCCCATCGTACTTGGGCCGACCATGGAAGCCGTACTCGAGGACGGTGATACTCCATTCCACGATTGGGGATTTCATCAAGCCAGAAGGGTGGATGCCTTGGGCCGGAGACATTGGTCTGGACACTTGCTATTATGCAGAGTTCGGGAACCGCGGCCCAGGAGCTGATACGTCCAATAGGGTGAACTGGAAGGGTTACCATGTCCTTGCAAACGCTAATGATGCTACGAGATTTACCGTTGAACGGTTTATTCAAGGCAGCCACTGGCTACCGGGCACCGGAGCACCATTCTTCCTCGGCCTGAAATCTATCTAGTAATTGTGCTCTGTTTTGTATGTTTTCCAGTAGACGCCCCCACCCACCGACATCCGAGACAACCATCAGTTGCCCGATGTCTCCAACCGAAAGTGCCTTTTTCTCTTTGTTTCAGTGTAAAAATAATTACTGTCAGTTTTGTAACATCTTGTAGTTAGAAATGTATTTCCTTGAAGAATTTTGTTGCTGGTACTTCCCACAAAATATATCCATTATTTTAATTTACTTGGAGAAATGTTGAACAATTTATTTGCCTATAATTGCTCTGAAGTGTGTATTTTTTGAAAGATGCAGTATGTGGTTGAGTAAAATTTTAATTGGGGCAAGTAAAAGTATATACTAGTAACTAGTATATCATTTTGTCCTTACAAGTTCCAACAAACAATGTGAATTTAGCGGAATTGGCAAAAGACAATGGGGTTGGCTGGTATTTTGGGCTAAAAATAAAATTAGCCAAATTGTGAGGGCCTCACTGTAATGTCCTAGTCCAGAAATTCCAGAAAACAATCCAAGTTGCAAGAACAATTCAGAGTTGTCATTGAATAATCTAGGCTATAACTCTCAGAGTCTCAGGGGACATAAAAGGAGTTGTACTTTTATGCAATGAACATTCTATATTCTAACCAATGATAAAAAAAATTAAAAAAAAAAAGCAAACAAGCGAAAGCATATCACCTCCTTGCGAATTTTATGAGCTATTTATAAATTAACCATCTATATAGTGTCACAAACATGAACAAAATGAGTGAAGAAGTGCAGAAAAGAACATGCAGTGTCCCACTCACTAATCAGCAGCCATGAATGGATCAGTTTCGCCAAGTTCAGCAACCAGTGGTTCCAAATCTTCGGGATTTTCGTCTTCAGGGGTAAAATAGGTAGGAAAGGGAAGAATAGATACATCTGGTTTCTTGAAATTTGCATCTTTTATGAAAACAAAGTTCCCTTCAGCACCTGGAACCTAGAAAACACGTCCAAGTACAACATATTAAAAAAATGCTGAGAGAAACCAGTCTGAAATTACAAGCCTCTCACTAAGTAAACAGTATTTCTAATTCTTACAAGTGTCCTTTTTCAGAACTTGGAAAATGCAACAACAACCAAGCCTTATTCCCATAAGATACAAAAAACCAGTTTTCAAGGATACAAAAAGTAAATATGCAGCAAACTATAGGAGAAACAGTTTTCCTGTAGATTTTTCGCTAAAAAAATGATCAGAAGGACCGAATTAGCCATTTAGAAATCCATATAGTCAAGGTCCAAAGATGAAAATGACCTACTCCATATAATCCATTAACCTCAAGTGGCAAGAAATCCACAACCCGTAGACCAAAGGTGAAAAATGTCTAATAATCATCGTACCAAAAGGGCATATGTTCTTTTCTACAAATAAACACCTAATATATATTCATAATTCACGCGTGCTATTCCATAATATAGCCTCACAACTAAAAATGCATCAACATTGAGACATCAACATATAAGAACTCGTAGTCGAATAATTTGAATACAGATATAATTCTTTGTTGACTAATTTACATTGATATTAATTTTGACGAACTTAAATGTAATTACATTTAGATTTGTATGAAAGACGTGCTACGAACTGAGGTAAAAAAGACAAGCTATACACTATTATTTTAATTCTTTGGTAAATCTGACATTTAATTCTTTTCTAATTATAATAGGAATATATTCAGATATAACAAACAAAGTGAATATGAATATAAAAAATGATTTGATTATTAAACGAATACGAATATGAATAATGATGTCAAGTTTGGCTGTACGATCATGGTTACTGTACATCCAAACTAGTTTTCCCATCCATGGTTACTGTACAATCACTCTTCATGAGACAAGTAAACCCGTTATTTTGGTTTCTAAATGTCTATATTGATAAATACATAAATATGAAAAAGAAATAATCACCATCAATCATACTCCGTTTAAAAGATGGCACTAAAAGCTCGTAGGCTACTCAGTATAAAACCTTACCTTCTGACAACTATTTTAGCAAAGGGATGAAGACGTAGACATGTAGAAAAACTTACTTGACCTCGAACCCACATCAAGTTTCTCGCTGGATCAATTTTGTAAACCCAAACATTTTTCACTGTTCTTTGCACTGCACCCATTCTCCCAGGCATTTTCTTGTTTTTGAATACCTGTTGAGAAAGAAAAGGAAAAATAAGCACATTACAAGACTACAAAATATTTGAAAAACAAAGGCAACAGAACTATGCAAATGGCACAATGATGTGATGTTATCATTACCCAAGACCCTATTAGGGTGGTTTGATGCTTTGAGTTTTTTATTTAAGAAAAACTAGAAAACAGATTTAGGAAACAAAATTTATGGTTTTAACTTTTAAGTATTTTGCTGGAAATTTACAAAACTACATGAGTAAAACGAGTTTGTATACTTTTAGTATATTGTACAAATTATATCACATAGCTTCTAAAATCATAAAACCAAATACTGAAAACTGGTAACCACCACCAACACACAACAGGGCCCAAGGTTTCTTGCAGTGGAGGTTTCATGTCCTATATTGCAATAATCCTGTTGCTTGCTTACGGTCTTACGACTTAGATCCTCATGGCTTTGCAATGTGGAATATGAACACGAAACTATATATAGATTGATGAGTATATTGTGCAAGTCTATCCTGATAAAAGTGCACTCCTCCTAAATAATAGTGGAGGTATCACATAAATATCACGAACACAGGAAAATTCTAGCTTCATATTCCATCCAAATTGAAAGAGGCGTGTTTGCGATTCTAAATCAGTAGAGAGAAAAGTTGATTTCTGACAAATTGTACTCCTTATGTGGTAGTAGGGATAGCTTCATGTAAGCCAAGGTGTCGAGAGATGATGTATTTGCTAAGAGTAATGTTACAGAGAAGATAGAGAATTCTTCTTACAAGTGTTTTTTATAACAGATTGAAAGTGATAATTTTTAGGTATAAGACCGACAGACACACATACAGATAAAAGGGCCCCACCATATATAGTGAATTTAGTAGTTGTTCGGTACAACAACTACGAGAGTAATATTAAAATATTTCAAAGTCAATATTAATTTTATAAATCACAACAACAATTTTAATTGAGTTAACGAAGTGTTAAAAAAACAGAAATACAAAAGAAACAATGGGAGGCAATAGCTTCAGTGAGCAACTACACTGAGAAGGTACAGTGAAGTCACCACTTGAGGAAAATACAATTTCATAAACACTTGTGGGGCGGTGGGGGTGGTTGGTTTCTATGAGATAGCTACAACACAAACACAAGGCCTAAATAGGAAAATGAGATAACTTGCAATAATAAATTAACTGAGGTTATAACTTTTAAGTCAGTAGATGTTGGTTGATCAAAGGAGTTGATACGTTTCTCGCGAATGTGAGAAAAGATATTAAGTAATGTGATCTTCAAATGCTACCATAAGTCATGAGACATAGTTGAAGCCTCAAAGTTCGTAAAGTAACATACACCCACACTCAAAAAAGCTAAAACTAAATAGAAAATGTAAGGGGAGTTGACCAACCCTTCCAGGAGCATCTCTCTGACCAGTAGACCCACCACTCCTATGAGATAATGATGCACCGTGAGACGCAGGCATACCACTGAAACCATGCCTTTTCATTCCACCCTAACATTGAGATATAAAACATGACATTGTTACAACACTGAACAATATAAGAACAACTGTTTTGGAGAAAGAAGTAAGGCATGAGGCATACGAGTATTCCTCTTTAAATAAATGACGTAGTAAATTCCAAGTATAATACATGGATAAAAATGATCATTTATTTACCTGGAACCCTTTGCCTCTAGTGATGCCAGTGACATCAACAAACTGACCCGGAACAAAATGACGGACACCAATGGAAGTCCCAACAGGCAGAAGGGCATCCTCAGAGACAGGAAACTCCCTTAACTTCCTTTTCATGGGTACTCCTTGAGCTCTAAAGTGACCTACTTCAGGCTTGGTCAAATGCTTCTCCTTTTTATGGCTGCATCCAACCTAGTAAGACAATCAATTAAAATAAGTGAACAGCCAATCCAGCCCAACTGAATGAACTGACTCTGTTTCTATAAAGCATCATCAAAGGTGTTTAATTTGAAATGCCACTCTAATCTTATTAACTAATAAGCGAAAGAGACAAACCTGGAGGGCGAAGATTCCTTCCTTTTCAGGTGTTTTAACTTGTGAAACAATGTTATCTTCCAGCCAGAGAACAGATATGGGAACCCGCGCGCCCCATTTGTCCCAGAGAGCGGTCATCCCACATTTGATGGCGATAGCGCCGGTGCGCTTTGATTGGCCGGTCATAATTCGGGGCTTTGCCTCGATAATCCGGTTGGATATATCAGCCTCAACGGCATCGGTGCTCAGAGCCCTCCACGACTGCTGCGACAAGGAAGCTGAAGAAGGCACACAGACCGCAGCTTGACCAATCGATAGAAGCCGGATACGAGAAATGAGCCCTCTTGAAACTGCCGACATAATAGCGATAGTGTATCAATTTGATACTTCTTTCTTCCGGCTCCGATTGTAGATGAGCACAATATTACAGCTGCATTCGATCCATGGCAAAATCGGATCAGAATATAGTAAGAATGTTGAAAATGTTGGGAAGCCGGAAGTGGAGTGACCAAACGAAGGGCGAGGGGATATGGCGTAGGGTTTTACACAGCCACAGATGATTCTGTGCTGCGCCTTACCGTAGTGCTTTACTCCCCTTCCAATATCTTCTTTGTTACTCCGGATTACGTAACAAATCGTCATGGCCATATGAAATCAGTACTACACAAACTTGAAAATAATCACATATTCACATGTTGGTATTCATAAGAAAAATTAGTATTTTTTGCTCAAATAAAAAAAAAACCTCTATTTGTCTAATAAAAAGTTGGTATTATTATTGATGTTGCTGTTTGTAAACACTATTTCTAAGCTTCTATAAATATAAGGAATCGAAAAATATTTTTAAAAGCTATGCAAAAACTATAAAAAAGAAATTACCCCAAACATGAATAAAACTATGACAAAAATAAAATATTGGACATCTTATGTTTTTATTCAAAAATAGAACTATATTACTCCTATTGGAATATACCTATTTTTTTATTTAATTCTTACCACTACTTTAAATATGAGTAAAAGGTAGTCAAATGTCATAATTAAATGTTTTAACTCATAATAAATTTGCAAAAGATAATAAGAATTGAAGAAAACTAATAAAAATTTATAAAATAAAAAAATGAATTTTTTTTTTTTTGAAAATTAATAAAAATAGTAGAAATCTATAAAAATTAAAAAATATATGGATGACTTTCCCACCGCCTGTACTGCCTCCTTGGACCATCATCTCTGATCGGTGTAAAAATGTCATTCCTTTTGCTAAAAATGCCATTTCTTTATGAAAAATCCAAAAATGACATATTACTCTTTGAGAATGCCAAAATTTTCATTGAATCTGTCATAAATATGGCATTCCTAATGAATGTGGCATTTTTTCCTTACTGACCGGAGGTGGTGGTGATGGGGCAGTTGAGGCGGCGGCGTTTTTTTAAATTTTTTATTATTATTTTATTTAATTATTATTTAAATATTTTATTACTTTTTTGTTGTTTTTTACAAGTTTTTATTATTTTTATTATTTTATTATAAAATAAAACATTTCAACAGCTGCAGGGGTATATTTGTCTAAGACACACATAATTAGTCCTATGAAACATAGATTTTTAGTCTCATTTGTGCAAATGGACCAACTTTTAGTCCTATATGTATAATTAACTCAAGAAAAAAATATGTTTGAAATTAGAAATAATTCAAAAAGAAAGTGACACATTTTTTAGGACGTGTAAATTTTTATTTTTGATAGGAAAAAGGGTCACATAGGCGCTTCAATATTTTTCAATCCATCACTTAAGCCCATGTACTAAAAAAAGCATCATATAAATACGTCTGCTTTACAAAATTGATAAATTTGACCGTTTAAACAGTTTTTGACCTGTAAGGTGTGAGATAAGTACCCCAAACTTGCATATGTAATATATATACCCCAAACTTTAATGAGGTGTGAGATAAGTACCCCAAACTTGCATATGTAATATATATATATACCCCGAACTTTATATAAAAAGTTATTTTCGCACCATGATTGCATGTTTTTTTACAAATACAAATTTGTTGGAATAATAACGTAATTTGAATGCAGTTAACGTTCTAAAATTTCATTTGTAAAATAAATTATATTACATCCGGAACAATTTAATTTTATCGCATCCTCATAAATATTTTGTATATTTTAAAATATGTATTTACACTACATAAAAATTCACTTATAGAGGCAACACCCCGAGGCAATCGACATATCATTGCCTCTAAATGTCATCTTTAGCATCAGATAAAACATGGTTGCCTCTAAAGTTAACTAATCTAAGTATATTGAGGCAACCATATCTTACGTGCCCCTAAAAAGTATCATTCGGGGCAACATGATTGTATCCGCCTCTAAAAGTTTATTACGGAAGTATCATTGCTTCTAAAACAATTTCTTCTAAAAACAAATTCATTTTCAAGGCAATTTTTTGTAGCAAATTTTATTTGAGCGCCTAAAACTTATACTCCCATCCCAATATAAAAAATTATATTCAAAATATGTGGAGTAGTGTATTAATAAAAAAAAATTGATAACATAATTAAAATAGAAATTGTCCTAAATAAGAGTAAAAACGTTTTGAAATTTCAAAATAGGAGTATCATGTTTTTTATTCTCCGAATAGGAGTAACCTGCCATGTTTGGAAAAAATATCATGTTTTAAAGCCTTGTATTGCCAAACTTGGCAGCAATTTACTCCTATTCAGGGAATAAAAAACATGATAGCCCTATTTTGGAATTTCAAAACGTTTTTACTCCTATTTAGAGAATTCTCTCTATTTAAAATTGTCTTATTACACTAACTTCGGTCTATTGAGTTGGAACGGTGTATTTAGAGCCCGTTTGGCAGCACCAAAATCGGCTGATTTGGCTGTTTCTCCTGAAATTTATGAAGTTCTGGCTGAAGTGGCTGCATTGGCTGATTCTGCTGATTTAAGAAAAAAATGTTTTAAAAATATATTTTATTAATAAAATAAAGATAAAATTATATGTAAAAAATAGATAAAATGATTATCTATAGTAACTTTAGCCAATACAGCCAGAAAAGTAACTTCAACCTTACTTTTTCTGCTTATTACACAATTCAGCGCGCGAAAACAAAAGTTACGTGTTTGGTGAAAAAGTTGGCTGATAAGCCTGATAAGCCGAAAAACAGTGGTTCCAAACGACCTCTTAATTATCGGGGGATATTGCCACGTTCATTCTAGTGTCGCAAAAAAGTTTCCCAAAATTAAATTTACATCCATTCAACTGGCAAATTTCCTTTCCCACTTATATTTTCCGTCAAATTTTTGCCGCCTAAACTTTTAGCCAGGAGTAATATTTTCCGCCTAAATTTTGCCCAAATGTTCTAACCCTAACCTGTATCCCCGCGCAGCCATCTCGTTACCAATGCTACCCTGAACCAGGGACGCACAAGGACAGAGGCCACCACTCACCTCGTCGAACGCGGCCCGTTGTCCGCCTGTCCATGTTGTTTTCCGTCTGGGACTACCCAAAAGCCCGCCTATAAGCTCAGGCGACCCAGCTGAACTTGTGACCGCGTTGAGCATCGGCGGTCACTCGCCTGTTGCCCTGCTCCACTGCTAGTCGGCCCAGTGCCCAAATCAGCTGCCTCAATCTCGGCTCTTGTTGTCTCTATGTCTCAGACTCTCAGGTACTTAAAAAATGTCATTTTAAAGGACTTTTGCTTCGATTATGATTTATGAGGTCAAGTTTATGCTACTGGTTAATTTTAAGCGTTCGGTAACATTTTCAAGTCTGAATTTTGGTTTGAAAATTAACTTTCTTGAACCCAGAAGATGGGATTCAAGTTCCTGTTCCTCAAACTAGCAGACTAGCAGTTAATTTGACTTACCCTAAAATGACAGAAATGTTCGGCTATTTTTTTGAATATAACATATTTCTGGGTTGGCTTACCCTAAAATGTTCAACATGCAGACAATGAGTAAAAGGATACCTTATGAAGAGTATTTGTTGAGGCAGTGTTTGAGTGCTCAATATGTAGATTATGCCAGTAGAGTTCCTTAGGGAGTCCCATTTGTGAAGTAAAGACTGTCTGTAAGAAGTCACTTGATTGACTTGTCTGTAACTTTACTTCCCAAGTAGCGCTTGAATTTATTTAGTGTTCCGGAAATTTCTTGAATGTATTGGTGTTATTGTTTTTAAATAAGCACTACATTAGTTTTATTCGTACCTAAATAAAGGTGAGTATATTATTAATATGTGTTGTTTTGCTTTGGTATTTTTTTTCAATTCCATTTTGAAACAGTTCTTATGCATTTTTTTACAATATTAATCTGGGATATAATTATTCCTTAGTAGCTTGAAATCAATTTATTTCATACCATGAAGTTAGTTATCTCTCTTGCTCTGATCTTTGTGTGTGTTCTTAGAGCAAACATCAATTTGAACATCTCCACGATAAATTAAAGATGGGTTATAAAGTTCATTTTTTGGTATGGTTGTAGTAGAAATAGTAGTACTTCTAAATCTATGTTTTATAAATTTGGACAAAGCATTGCATCCGAATTGATTGTTTGTAGTGCTGAGACAATTTAGCAATGTGTATATTTATTTATTTTGGCAGATCTTAGCTTAACAGAACAATGATAACTCATTGAATTGCAGCAGGAGCAAGGAGATTACAGACATAGCAGTAGCTACTTAATAAGGATAGGGTTTTCTCAATTTGATTTGCAGATTTGGAACTCTAAAATAAAATTTTGAAGTGTATATGCTCCAAAGACCAATGTTATTTAAAATTTTATTTTATTATAATCAACAATGCAATTTATTTTTAGAACAGTGTATATGTCATCATTTTTTGGTTCAGTTTACTTTTTGCATGGATAATGTGTTTGGGCTTAATTAATTTGGTGTTTATACTTTACAATGTCAAGGTATTTAAGAACAATTTCTTGATCAATGCAGTCAACGTTGATCGGTCTCTTTGTCACTGCTTTACGGTATGCTCTTCTTCTTTATATTTGCCTTGTGTTTTTCTGCATGTTTCAACATACAAAAGTGAGAGCTAGAGACAAATTTTGTGAGGCCTCAATCGCAGTTGATTCTTTGTCATCCGCTATAGAATCTTTTTTTTAAAGCCGCTATAGAATCTCTTTGACCTCATAGGTGCTCCAAAGTGCTCATCAGTCCCCCAAATAAAGGTATATATTTTGAGATGCTTGGTTTAAGCTTCAGTTGTATGATTTAATGCTTTTGTTACATTTAACGGATGGTTTCAGTTTGTATGATTTAGTGTTTTATAGTAGGTTTACTAGTCATTGATCCAATTATACAACTAGTTTGAATGCTTGTTCCAGTGATTCAATTGCAGAAAAATGAGAATCTATTCCTAGGCAAGCTCCTTTACCTGTGGTTGGACTCCCTAGAGATTTCTTTTCATTAAAGGGTGTACGATTACTATCATAGGTTTCTGGAGAGGCGCTCTAATATCGTCTCGGTGTGGGAGAAAACTCACATCTTCTTTTTCCTTAATGAACTCCACTAGAATTGAATAGGAAGTTTACTGAAAACCTATTTTGCCAGTGATCAAGCAGGAAAAATGCAAACCTGGAACGAATCAAGTGAGCTAGGATTTGATTAGTTTTTTTTATAGGAGGTACTATTGGAAGAAGCACTATTTCAAATGTGAATGGATGGATTTGATTAGTTTTTTTATATCCTGTCCTAAACTAAGCGTATTCAATAGCAGGGCTTCACCCTTCGAGTGCTTATGCCTTTTCTGATAATTCTTTCCCTGGGAAGTGTGACAAAAGTTTTATGCAATAATGCAGGTATTCTGGTATTTTAAATGGAACAAATACTGCACGCGGAACCCTACAACTGATGTATATATGCCTTCTAAATTTGATGGTAACTATTTATGCATATGATATACTTTGCCGAGAATGACATTTCTTATTATCATTCTCATTAAATTTCATTAGATTGTATAAGCCAAGTGCTGACTGTGTTGCAACTTTGGTTTATGAAAAAGTTTATTATCTTCCCTGTCAACTTGGATTAAACATAGTTGTTTTGTTGATGCCTAATATGATGTCTATTCAGGTGGTGCACTTGTACTTTGTTCAAATATGCATGGCTTTTCTTTCATGCTCAAATCATATGTGATCGGTATGGAGAATGACCTGTAGTAGCTAATGAGAATAGAAGGTCAAAGGTGTTTTACCTCTTCCCCTTTGTCTGGATTTATGTTAGGTAATAAAAAGTGAAGTCAACTTCAAGTTGCCTAACATTAAGTTGAACTTGTCCAAAGTGTGCTAATGTTTTTGCAGGTATTTAATTCACAAATTTTCAGAACTTAATGGGATGTAAATTTTCTCAATTGATTACTGGTGAGGTATCTCATTACTTAATTTCATTGCTCCTTATTTGTACTATATTAATTTTTATAATTGCAAAAGACTAATTTATTGCTTATAATATTTCAGACGGATGAAGATAGTGAAATGCAGATGGGAGAAGACAAATGATTACACTTAGTTCTATCTTGTTCATACCAAGATTGATTGACTAATTGTGATTGATGAAATAGTTCAGAAAAGTTACAAATGTAATTTAGTTACTAAATGATTATATTTTGTTTTTATTGAAGTTAAATAAATATTGTATACATTATTCCATTCGTGTTTCCTTGTTTTTATTACTAAATCGTTGAGTATTGTACCGGTTCAATATAAAATAATTCAATTTCAATAATACATTATTCGTAATAGCAACAATATTACATCAACATATGAGTTGATAAAAATGAGCTGCATATTTGCATCTAAAAAACATTAGTGTCAAAATAACAATAACAATGCTTCTAAAGGTGTTTTGTGTCACTATATGGTGCTTGCCTCTAATTGTAGTTTGTGACAATAGAAATTTGTTGCCTCCAGTGATATTTAGAGGCTTGATATTGTGCTTGTCTCTAATGATATTTTGAGGCAAGTTATAATGGTTGCCTCTAATGGCATACCTTTTTGCATCACACATTTGGTTGCCTCTAAATGTTGATTTAGAGGCAACCACCATTTAGCGACGGATTCTTTAGAGGCAACCAATAAGTTGATCCAAAAAATCATTAGAGGCTACTTTCATGCTTTTAGAGGCAATAATGCCCCGCCTCTATAAACCCATTTTATTGTAGTGTTAACACCATAAAGTTACATTTATAATAAAATATGTGATCGTTGTGCTAACATAACTTTTTATACAAAGTTTGGGGTATATATATCACATGTGCAAGTTTGGGGTACTTATAACACACCCCTTCAATGTTTGAGATGTTTAAATTATTTTCCCCAAAATAATAAAGTAAAAAATTGTATAGTTGAATTATGTGAAGAGGAGTGAGAAATAACGAGAACACGATAAAGTTAGCGGGACAATAAAAAATGGAGATTTGGAAGGTTAGAAGGGACACGGGTATATTGGTAATAAAAATATATGAAATGAGCCAGTGCCATCCTCTGAAAGTTCAACAAAAAAACCTTTTCAATTACTAGCCAACTTAAATGTATATATAGTTTATGAAATCATTACACGGAGAGAATGAAAAAGTTGTAATGAAATGATTACTTGATTTATGAATAGTTTCTCAATGTAGTAGAACTAAATCACATTGTTTTTTCTTTAAATAACCATACCGAAATAAACATAATAGCCGGGCGGGACTCAGATTGTTGAAGGGTGTTTATGTAAAGATCCAAAATTATTTTTTAGATAAAATACAAAGATGCATAAGTGGAGTTGAAGTAATACGTCTATTGTTTTCTTACTTAGTACTCCCTCCGTCCCCGAAACAAGTTCTCACTTTCCTTATTTGGATGTCCCAATATAAATTTCCCCTTTCCTTATTTGGCAAATTTTTTTAACATTAAAACAGTGCAAAACAATGTCAAACAATGCCAAACAGTGTTGATACAGTAAAATTTACTACTCATTAAATTTATTTCCTAAAATGTGTGAAATTCAATCCGGGAACTTGTTTCCAGGACGGAGGTAGTATTTCTTATGTTTAACTCCATTTAATACGTAATTTTTGTTGTTGAATAAGTTACATGTAAATATGTAATGAGTTGTTTCATAGAACAATAATACTCCGGAGTATTATTTAAAAATGTAATTCCAAATTATTTTCATACACCCTAACTTAGATGGATGATCTGTGTTAGATAGACTGATAGAGTTGGTTATAAATTTGTTCTTGTTACTGTTGCTCTAGTTAAGTCAGTTGTGTTGGCAAGTCTATAAATACTTTGTACTTAGGTTCAACATTGAATAAGACCAGTTTACCATTTCTCAAATATTATTCCCTCTCTCATCTTTCTAATATGGTATCAGAGCTTTGCTCGATCCGTTAACGGCGATCACAACTGAAACCTCCTCCAATTCTTCTACCTGAGCTGTAACATCTATGTCTCTAATCACTTTTATGCATCCTCTTCCAGTAAAGCTTGATTTTAACAACTTCCTCTTCTGAAACATCACGTTGAATCAATAGTACGAGCACACAAGCTACTTCGATTCCTTGTTAAACCTGTTATTCCAGACCGTTTTGCCAGTCACCATGATGAAACTAATGCAATCGAGAATGATGCATACATCACATGGGAGCAACAAGACCAGATGTTGTTCTCGTGGCTTCTTGCGTCATTATCAGAATCATTTCATGCTCGAGTCATTCATTGTAGACTATAGCGATAGTTTTCACCAATACTGAGAATAATGGTTGTCTGGTTCCATTGACTTCTTGTTACCACTCTTGTTTCACCAATGTCTAGTTCTGTTTTGTCTTCTTGTAATAATTCAAAATCTTGTAATGTTTCTCAAGCATGTAACCTGTGGCATTTAAGATTAGGCCATCCTCATTCTGAGGCTTTGAAAACTCTTCTTAAATAATGTAATATTCCCCATGTAAATAAAAATACTGTTGAGTTTCGTTCAGCATGTTGTCTTGGTAAAGCTCACAGATTACCGTCATTCACTTCTACTGTTGTCTTTAGTTCTCCTTTTAACTTGTTTATACTGATCTATGGGGGCTAGTCCCCATCACATCATTTGATGGTTACACCTACTGCATTTCATTCATAGATGCACATACCAGATACACATGGATATATTTTCTCAAAAGAAAATCCAATAAACTCCAGAATTAAGCATTTGAAAATTTATCTTTTCTTTGTAAGAGAAAAGGTGCATCTCAAGCAGCTTGAAGCCTTGAAGTCTTTCACACCGCAGCTCATAATCAACTGGCTGATATACTAACCAAGCATCTATCTTCTTCCAGATTTTTGGACCTCAAGAACAAACTTAGTGTGATTAATTTTAATCTTCAATCGCCCTAACTTTGAGAAGGGGAATGTTAGATTTACGGTTAGAGTTGGTTATAAGTTTGTTCTTATTAGAGCATCTCCAATCGGATAATGTGCACGGTGCACACGTGACATGAGAGATAACCACATAAATATTAGTAAATAAATTCTCTCTCCTTATTTTAATGATTTTATACAGATTTAGTAAGTTTTTCTTCACAATGTTAAGGAGACCGTCTAAATGTTGGCATTGCAGGGTAAAACTTACCAAAATTGTATAAAATCATTCAAATAAGGAGAGAGATAATTTATTTGCTAATATTTATATGACTATCACTCATGACACATGTGTACCGTGCACATTTTAGCATTGGAGATGCTCTTAATGTTGCTCTAGTTAAGTCAGTTGTGCTGGCAAGCCTATAAATACATAGTACTTAGCTTCAACATTGAATAAGATCAGTTTACCATTTCTCAAATATTATTCTCTCTTATCTTTCTAATAATCAACAACTATGTATAACATTTTACGACCATTTGTAACTTGCCAAAACCATAAAAGACATGCCCCAGATTCAAATGTGGCTTCTTTATTTTTAAATAGAGCCACAGAGGTAGAGATGATACTAATATGGGACAACACGGTTTGAAGTGCAAATGGACACCAATAGTAAAAATGACCAAGACACAACTTGATCAAATAAACTAATAAATAAAATTCTAAAAATGGAATGATTGCTGCATTCCAGTTGTCTACTCCTATTATACACTTCTTATTTATAAAGCCATAGAAACAAAGATGGATGAAAGATACAGCAGTTGCCATTGTAGAGTATAGATATCTCATTATCTTCACGCTGAGATCTAAACTCTAGAGAGCTGAGCCGTTAGGAGGAGCTCTTCTTCACTACGGCAGACGCCCAAATCATTTGATAACTTTCTACACAACTGCAAAACATATATATTTTGTGACTTTAGGTAGGTGTAAGGCAAAAAGTCAGTTACTCAGCAATAAGCCAGTATAAGCTCTTTATTAGGACACTTTTTTCTACCAAACTTAAGTGCTCCATTTCTTCTCTTACAACTTAAATACATGTTCTAGTTTATTGAGAAATTTCCCTGGATCATTTATTAATTCCCATTTTGAACACACACAACTAACAGTTTTTATATCGCAAAAAAAAAAACTAACAGTTTTTATAAAAATTGTAACTTGTGATCGAAATTCATCTAGAAGATCGAAAGACAATGTTAATTTTGAGACAAACGAAAATATATATAATGAATATAAAAAGAGGCATAGGTAACATATTTTAAATAAATTTGAAATCATTTAGTTCATTCAGATAATTCAAACATAATACTTCGTATTTATCTCAATCATATTTAGGAGATGTTCTCCTTGTTGCCTGATATTCAGAGATATAGTGTGGATTTTTACGGCCAAGTATAGTCTGATTTGAGTGTTTCTGGTCTGGTCTTGGTTGCATATACATAAATTGGCTCCAGTTTTGATTTGAAAAAGAATAAGTAATAAGCAAAAACAGAACTACAAGAACAGCTCCTTACTCCCATCAACCAGGAGCCTAATTTGCCACTCAGATAGTGAAATAGAAGACATCTTCAACACACGGATGGATAATAAAAGTAGAAGAGACAGTTCAAGAATACCTGTCTATACATAACAGAGTCCCCATGCGATTTGAGTAACTCTACCCCATACCAGGAAGGGCTGATTTCAAAGACCTGGAGAGTAAATGAAAAGATATATGGAATTACTTTTCGGGTTAATCATATAACTCTAACTCAAAATGAGTTTTACAATTCATCTTACTTCTGCAGCTACTAAAAGACTTTCGGAGCTCTTTCCAACTTTGTGTTTTTGGATCACTTTCAGCTAAAGAAATGCAAGTATGAAGCAGACACAGGAAAAGTCATATGATTAGCAACTGGGAGCTAAACCTTTTTTCCATATTTTTTAAAATGTGTTATTGTTATCATTAAGAAAAAGAAAGCATATAAATCTTGAAAGGGACAACATGAACACCTTCGTGTAGGGAAAACACATACCTTTCCATGTTTTCTTTGGACTTCGTATCCCATACTCGTTACTATATTTTCAATACTCTTGAGCAACTCTTTTGGAGCTAGATTAGATGTAAATCTGATCTTCCTCTCAGAGACATCCTGAAATCAGTCAACCAAAGTTTTTGATAGAATTCAGAATTAGATTGTGGTCAATCATATGGGCCAAAACACATTAAAAATTTGAAATGAAGTCATTAGCTACTCAAACCCAATATCTTATAAATAATAAATTCATAATACTCCTTTGTAATATTCTACGTAGTAATATTATACTCTAAACACTCTTGGTATCCCAAAGATCACACTAACCTCTTTCTCAAAAAAGCCTGATAGGTCTAAGCAAGATGACATTCCTATCAGCTCAAAAGCATTGATAAGTGTTGGCGGTGACTCGGGATCTCTTTCCCCATTACGCGGTGATTCATTTAACATTAAGATTTCATTATCAATGTCTGCACTATCTTCTTCTTCCTCTTCATCTTCAGGATTTGCAGAACAATAGCCTGGTTTAAACCACTTGTGCTCTTTGATCTCTGTAATGGTTATACGAGTCCTCGGGTTGGGATCAAGTATTCTCTTTATGAGGTCGTGTGCCTCTGATGATAACGACTTCGGTATATGTGCATCACCCTTGAATATCTGATTGATTCCCTCAAAATGTTACTAAATGAACCTAAAGGTTTATTCCAAGTAAGTACATTTGAAAAATAACAGTGACAACCTTTTGATAAAGCACTGCTAGATTTCTATCATCAAAGGGTAAATATCCTGTAAGAATCACATACAAGATGACACCAATTGACCAGGTATCTGAGGTGGCACCATCATATCCTCTGTTTGAAAGAATTTCGGGTGCAACGTAGTTGGGACTTCCACATGTTGTGTGTAGCAACCCGTCATCCTATACTTCCGTGAATAAGACAAATATAGGAAAACCATTGTCAATGCCACAACGGTAGGGGTTATACATTCAAATTTAAATGCCCAACAACATATAGGAGTTGGAGCACAAGCCTCAACATTAAAACCTAGACAATAAGGTGAAGAATTACTCCTTTTGTGCACTTTTATTACTCGCTACATTTTACATTTGTAGAACTACCATCATATCAAGCTAAGTAAGCATTCTAACATTCTTATCTTCTGTTGTCAATATTTCCTACTTTTTCATTCTAACATTCTCACACTTTTTTCAGTTTTTCTACACTGTTCACGAGCACTATAGTGTTACCCTTAATTTTTGCAGCGAAAGAAGAGAGTATTATATGATGCCTGGTGTGAGCGCGAGTTCAAGGTTCCCATAACAGAAATAAATGAAAAAAAGAAACTGGATTGGAGTTAATATACTATACAGTTCATATGTTTAATACCCTAAAATGTTGAGGTAATGCACTGAGCCCGAAGTCCGTAATCTTAAGTGTTCCATTTCCATCAACCAGCACGTTTTCTAGCTGCATGTTTAAGGAGCTGATTAAAAGAATAATATGTGAAGGAACAAAATGCATGGATAGAGGCTACAAACTGAGATTAAAGCTCTTCTGAACTATGTAGCACTAGCACTGTAACCTAAGTTTCATAACAAAACTCTTCACAATCAGAAACAGAAGTAGAAATACCTTGAGATCTCTGTGGAAAACGCCTTTGCTGTGACAGTAGCTGACACCATCAACCAACTGCTGGAAGAGCTTCCTACCTTCAACCTCAGAGTGTTTGCCTTTGGATACCTAATAAGGCAAGCAGAAGAGAGAATACTAGTTGTGAAAAAGAAGCATTAAAGATTCACTTCACCTTAACTTCGTTGCAATATCAAAACACTTACTATTCTGTCAAACAATTCTCCCCCATTCACGTACTCTAACACCATGTATATCTTAGTTTTGCTCGCCAAGACCTGTTTATTCATAGCAAGGCACAATGGGCAACTCAATCATAAAAAAGAGTATACTATACAGTAAACTGCTATAAACGTGCATAGTACTAATAGAAGGTAATAATAATTTCAGTCAATTTCAATGTTATGAAACGAGCTCTAAACATAGCAGCCAAGAAACAAAAAAAATACACGATACCCAGTTATCTTCCAAATGATATTTTGTATCTCTTCTATAGTTGTTTATTTTGCATTTGAAGAGTGATGACTACAATGCGTTGTGTTGATTTTTTATGGTTTTTCTCATTTTGAATAAAAAAGTATTGACTATACATTCGACGAATGGTCATTAGATGTATGATGTACATCAGTACATGTAATATGCACATGGCATATGTGCATATACAATATGCGGAAGTATTATACTCCGTATATACTGTCCTAACCTCGTACTTAATTTTGATGAAGCAATGTCATAATGTAGTTTTCATGTTAATTCATTTTAAATACCATTTGTATTCTTAAGTAAGTGCAACATGTTAAATTTTACACTACTTTCATATTCTACTTTGATTACGTTTTATTTATTACAAGAATTATTTAAAAAAAAAAATCTTAAATCTGTCTCATAGTAACTTTTCAAAATATGGATTTTTTTTATTTTTTTTACTAACAGAAAATAAACATGATTTTAACTGTAATTTTTTTAATTTATTACTCCGTAATTTATTACACTATTTTTTAAACTTTTATGGAAAAAGGATCAAATAGACTCTCCTAGTATGTCCAATCCATCACTTAACCCTTCTACTTAAAAACATCATATAAGTACACTTACTTTCAAAATACAATCAATCAAGCTATTTTGATCTATTATAGCAGGTTATTCATTAAAAATTAAATTAGGAATATGGATAAATCTTACAATAATTCATAAAAATTTGAAAAAATAATCTAATAACAATATAAAAAAATAGTATAAATGGAAGAATAGTTAAAAAAAAATTAACAACATTAACATAAATAAAAAATAAAAAATCATAAAACTGAAAAAATAAATTGAAAATCAAAGTAAAAAATTTAAAACCCTTTTAAATAGATGTAGAATATACAAATAATTTCAAAAATTCAAAAATATTGGCTTGGATATTCTGAAAAATTCACAACTTTTGTATATATTTCTTCAAAATTCAACAATTTTTTAGAGTTTTTAAACATTAAAAATCTGCTATTATAGGTCAAAAATCAATTAAATGATTAAATTGATCAATTTTGAAAATAGACATACTTATATGATACTTTTTTAGTACAAAGACTTAAGTGACAATTCAAAATAGTATAAGAACTTATTTAACTTTTTTCCAACCTTTATTGAGGATCAAAAGTTATGCTTCAATAAACGTGAAAAGGAGAATGTTGCACCCATTTAAGTTACGCAAAGTAGTAAATCCATTTGCCACTTTATATCCTTTTCCGTAACTTATTATTGAATGGAAATAAAAACTGGCCGAGTGAGCGATCGGAAGACCAAAGTAACAAGGAGTATGTAGTCGGGACGCAGGAGCAAAAAATCAAAAATAGAAATGACGTGAAGTGTGTGATATTGATAATTAAAAGCGTTAGGTTGTTTATTATCTGTTCACTCCGAAATAACGTAATGTGCAATACTCCAATATTTGCATACCAAAAAGCTTTATGTGGTTTATGTTCACTCCCTCCCAAGTCCCACCTACTAATTTTATAGGCACGATCGACCTTATGCTTCAAATCCAACATCTGCGGCCAGTTTTGCTGAAACTTTATTTTTGACTTCGTCCAGTTGTCCCTGAATGGACTTAACTTCTACAAATAATGACATTAATGTGGTACCAAACCGAAAATAAATAATTGCTGGACCTGGGTAGGTCCCATTGAGTATACATACAACCACAGAAGTGATGCATTCAGTGACTCTATCATTTAATACAGCACTGCCCACATGCTACTTACCACATACAGAACTTAAGTCGGATCACACGCAATTCACGCAATACGTGCGCGGTGTGCACGTATGTTTTCAATCTTCAAGTTTTTTTTATTATGTTTTTAATCGAATTGAAGCTTTCGGATCTAATTTGATCTAGTATGTTTTAGGAATACGGAGTAGAAAATCCATTTGAATATAGGTTGGTTAAGTATGTTTTCAATCTTCAAGTTTTTTTTATTATGTTTTTAATCGAATTGAAGCTTTCGGATCTAATTTGATCTAGTATGTTTTAGTTTGACATGATCTGATGTGGTTTGAACTAGTGTGATCTGATTTGATAAATGTAAGTTTTATACTCTGTATGTTTTTACAACTGCCTATTTCTTTTATAGTCTAATTTGATCTAGATTGTTATAAGTTTAATCTGATTTGAGATTGAAACCAATTAACAAAAAGTATCTACATCTCGTCAGACCCCATAAAGATATTAATTAGTATTTCTAAAATCAACTATGTTATACACGTTGGGTTACACAATTATTTACACGGCATCTGTAACTAATTGTTTGAGCACATTTAATTCATTTTTTATTTTAGTTAAGGGGAGTGTCTATGACCCCTCCAAAAAGGAATTGTCTGTACACAAACAATTTCACAGACAATTCATTTTTTTGAAACCACAATCACTTCCTTTCATTAAAATGAAAAAACATTTGTCTATGCACAGACAATCACAGTTAGCGTGTAAAGAAACGTGTACAAGTAGCGTTTTTCTTCTAAAATAACCTTAGAAAAGAAAATAGATAGAAATGGAAGCAAACCCGTAGACCAGTGAGCTGCGATGTAAAGACCTGAGCACTTTGATTTTGTGTAATAAAATTACATGGAACTTTTTTTCAGTATGTGAAAATGAAAACCTAAGCATATCTAATTACCGTGAGTAGGGCTGGACTCGGGCCGGGCGGCCCGACCCGGGACCGAACCGGCCCGGTCACTGTTTGGCCCGGCCCGGCCCGGCCCGTGGCCCGGTGGGTCCACCGGTTCGGTTTGGCCCGGCCCGGCCCGGGTGCTGGGCGGTCCGGGCTCGGGCCCAGGTTTTGGTGAACCGGCCCGGCCGGTTCGGGCCCGGTCCGGGCCGGATTTTAATTTTTTTTTTTGAAATTTTTTTAAGTTTTAGGTTGGATTAGGTATTTTGGGCCATTTGAGGTGGTTTGGGATGGTTTGGGGTTGAGGGGGAGGGGTAGGGGATTAAATAGGAGAACAAAAAAAAATTAATTGGGCCGGTTCGGCCCGGCCCGGCCCGGTTTGGCCCGGAACCGGAACCGGAACCGGAACCGGCCACCGGCGGTTCGGGCTCGGGCCTCCCCTTTCTTGGCCCGAGGCCCGGCCGGGCCCAGGCCCGAACCGGGCCCGAGTCCAGCCCTAACCGTGAGAATGACAGAACAAAGGGAAAACTGTCAAATAGGTCCTCGAACTTTCATAAAAAAGTCAATTAAGTCCTTCTCTAGAAGACTTTGTCCGGTTGTCGCAATTTGGGGCGGTTCCCGGTGGAATTTTTTGATGAAATTTTTTGAGCATCTTATTCATCAACCCTAGTTTACTCATACCAAATTTTAGCTAAAAATTTAATCGGGAGCGCATTCAAATTAATTCGAGAACGCAAAAATGTGCAGTTATCTTCAAGAATTAATTTGAATGTGTTCCTGATTGAGTTTTTAGCTGAAATTTGGTATGAGTAAACTAGGCTTGGTGAATAAGATGCTTAAAAAATTTCATCAAAAAATTCCACCGGGAACTTTCCCAAATCGCGACGGCCGGACAAAACCTCCTATAGAAGGACTTAATTGACCTTTTTATGAAAGTTCGAGGACCTATTTGACAGTTTTCCCCGGAACAAATTAATCACGTCCACGCTGCCACGCACATAGTAGAAACCGTGTACACCATACCAATGTAAAGTTAAAAAGTTGGGAGTCCAGAAGTCAATACTTCTTCTCTTGCCCGTACTTCACTCAAATTAGAAAGACAAAGCAAACAAATAATGGCAATACGTTTTCCGTGCATAACTGCCATTTGATTTTTCCTATAAGCAAAGATAGCTACCGGTTTTATAACTCTATTACAACTTAAATTACAAGGACAACTCATTGAAACCGATTATTGCTTTGATAATAACGGAACAGAACATGGGAACCGATTATTACAACCGAAATTGTCCTAAATAGGACTAAGAGTCTGTTTGCCACAGCTTCTGCTTTTAAAAAAGTATTTTTTTTTAATGAAATTGGGAGAAATGATTAAATAAAAGTTGATAGTGTTTGAGAAAAAAGTGATTTTGAAAAGTAAAAGTGGGTAGTGTTTGATAAAATAAGTGCTTTTTGTGTAATAGAAAAAGTAAAAGCACTTTTGACGCGGAAGCCGAGAAAAATAAAAGTTGTAGTGTTTGGGAAAATAAGTGTTTTTTAAAGCCAAAAGATGAGAAGTGTTTTTTTAAAAGGAGTTCCAAACCAACCCTAATGAGTTCCTAAAAAGCACAACTAGGACTAGTACTTTTAAAATTCCCTAAATAGGACTAAACATTGATTTTCTACCCTAAATACCCCTAAGAGTATTAATTCATAATGAAATGCTTTAATTCACATTAAAATCATAAAAAACGTAAAAAATATTTAAAAACGTAAAAAAAATTAAAAAAATATATAAAACATTTATAAAATAAAAAATTTAATTTTTTATTTTTTTATTTTTTTTAAAAAAAAATAAAAAATAGTAAAAACCCATAAAAAAATGAAAAAAAATATGGATAGCTTTCCCACCGCCTCCCGCCGCCTCCCAGCACCACTACCTCCGATTGGTCAAATTTCTTCCACTTTTGGTTAAAAAAATACCATATTTTTCTGAAAATGCCAAAAAGATGGCATAATTACTCTTCAATATGCCATCATTATGGCATTATTTAAAATGTTGGCATATTTTTCTCCGGTGATGGGAGCTGGTGGTGCTGGGGTGGCGGGGGGTGGTAATGTTTTTTTTTAATTTTACGATTTTTTTTATTTTTTTTTTATTTTTTTAAAAAATATTTTTATTAATTTTCTATTATTTTTTTTACGATTTTTAGTTTTTTTTTTATTTTTTATTTTATTATTAATTAAAACATTTCACAAGTTACAAGGGTATATTTGTCCAATCACACATAAATAGTCCTATTAAGGGAATTTAAAAATGTAGTCCTATTTGTGCAATTTTGCCACTTTTTAGTCCTATTTAGGGAATTGACTCTTATTACAAATAGGTTTAACTATGTGTTAGTCGTCAATCGGTGTATGCAAATATAAAGACGTAATATAATACCTCCGTCGAGCTTTATTGTTACACATTTAAAAATGACATTGTCTTTTATTTATAACAATTAAATACAATAATTTGATGTTACAGATGTATTTTTATGCATAAGATACTACTAGTATTTTTGTGATGGTGAAGTTGAAAAAATTTACTCCGCATGTTGTAGTGATGGTTTGTGAAGTTTGATACAATCCTCACTCTTATGGGTCATTTTTGGCGGCTTCCAAATTTGGAATTTATCATAATGGTTTTAATTAATTGGACAGTAAATACTCATAAAATAAACATGGATCAAACCGGTCCATTTAGATCAGATCAAAGCATATCATAACAAACTTAAACGAAAACACACCATATCAAATCAGATCAAATTAGACTATATCAGACCAAAAATTACAATTAAAAACATTCCTACTTTGAAATACTCTTTCCTCTCATTTAAATCTTTACACTCTCATTTTTGGAACGTCCCATTTACATATTTACGTTTTCTTTTTTGGCAACATCTTTTACATTAATTGTCCTAACTACCTTCATCATCAACCCACTTTTTATATTTATTTGGATAACATTAATCACCCCAAAAGTAAAGGGTATGTAAGGTTTGTGCTTTTCCTTTAACGCATGTCTTCCATTTTTAGTATCATGATATTCATATACTCCGTAGTTCTTACTTTTTTCCTCATTTAACTCGTCCCAGTATTATTGCTTAGCTCAATTCAACCTGTATTCTTGTAGCCACATCTAAATATTCGTATGAAAATTCAAAAATTTATACCTCATCATCTTATAAATTGAAACGTGCACACCATTATTAATGAATTTTTCACTCAAAAATAAATATAAATGATTTTTAAAATGTGGAGCAAATTTTATTTTCTCTTAAGAAACTTATAATACTACGTATATAGTATGAAGTAATAAGTACTATGCAGTAAATGTGGAGTACAAAAGCTGAATTAATTTTCACAGCTGCGTATAAAATCACAAGAAACTCAGCCTTAGAGCATCTCCATTCATGATCTTAAAATAAATGGTTTTTCTATAACACATCATTGACACATCATATTTATTAAATAAATTTTAAATAATCTCAAATCTTAAAACTCTCCATCAACCATGATAATCAAATAATTTAGTTTTTCTAGACCATGCATTAAATGAAATTTAACTACAACCTAAAATAATCTGGGATTCAAATCTTGATACCAGATTATCTTTTTCAATAATCTCTCTAAATAATCCCTCACTCACAATGATAATCTTTAAAATAATCTTACACATCATCCAATTAAACTCTAAATAATCTAAACAATGTGGATGCCCTTAGAATAAATATAGCCGTATCATATAATAATAACAATATCATAATAACAATCATAATATCATAATAATAATAATAATAGTAATAATAATAATAATAATAATTATAATAACAACAAAAATAAGCCGTATAAAACAAAACAGTTGTGTAAATGTTATGGAAAATGGAAACAAGATCCTAGAACTTAGGCAGTAAGAAGGAAAAGAATAAAGTATAACAAGAGAATTTTGTGTCGTTTATCCAGCTCATCATTAATTTTTTAATTTTTCTCTCCTTTAAGCTTTGAACTTTGAATGGATATACGCATATTCTTTTCGTGTGCGTCGGTATTATTCCTATCTAGAAGAGTTTAACTGCGGTACAAAATCTCTGAAATGCTAATTAATTACGCTCTTATCGTTACTATACCTCATGAAGTCGGACCACGTTTGGATGTTTAAGGAGTTTTAAGGTCCCGATCTCTCTCTTTATCTGCAGATATAACAATAATAATATTAATTCATAATATAATAGTTATAATAACAATACTCCATCCGTCCCGTTAAGATTGTTGCAGACTTTATTCACTTAGTCAACACAAATCACTCTTAATCTCTAACTTTATATATCAAATTTTTATCAAATTTGATTCTGATTTTTGCTACTTTATAAAGTTTTTAATATAGTTTCTAAATATGAATTTTTTTTCTCTAAAAGTTATTTGAATGTGGACAGAAATCTATTTGCTTTATCGTCGATCAAGTATCGTAAACCGAATTATCCCAAAAGAGGGAGGTAATAATTATTATTACAAATTTACAATAGATACAGGCAAAAGAGGATAGCTATAATGAACACATCGAAATGGATAAGAATGTGTGCGCGGCGAATCGGAATCCAAAAATCAGAGCTACAGGTATTTGAATTAAATGTACAGAATTTTCCGAAACAAGGAGGTTGAACGCACGTACTAGTATTTTTTTGCGGAAAAATGACTAATCTAATTTCTTAACTAATTTGATCGGATAAGTCACTACTTCCAGCGAAAAATTCCTCTGGATTGAGCTCAGATTATACGTTTCAAGCTACAGTAATCCAACCGTTTTGAATTTGTTTCTGGATTTACACACCTGTTAGTAAAGCAAATCTTACATTTAAAAAAACTTGTTTAGAACTAGATTAAATTCGTGATATTAAGAGATGGATTATTTCAAAGAACAAAAAACAGAAACAAAGATAAAATAATGAAATGTAAATCAGATAATGAAAAAATTCAGTTATTAGCTGAAACGCAAATGAACAAAACAATAAAATGATTGATGATGTGCAAAAAGTTATATTTACCGCCCCACAGGGACGGTTTTGGTAAGTTGAAAGGTTGGATGAAAGTATGATGGCAATGGCTAATTGTGGGGCACATCTAGATTTGATTCTACAATAATTGGGGTAAAAATGTGGTGAAAAAAGTTAAAAAAGGAACCAGTCGGAAGTCTAATCCAGAACGGCATTAATCCGACAAAATGGTAATCAATCATTCATCAATTTCGACCTCGCAAAATCATGTCTAATTTAAGGGCTTCGAATTCACAATCAAATCGAAATCAATGGGAACCACCGTCATGCATCTGTCTCCAATCGAAGGCGAAGAGGAGGTGGAACGCGTACCTGATCGTTGATCTGTAGATCAGTGATGCGGCTCTTCTCGAGGATTTTCACGGCGAATGGCTGGCCGGAATCGAGGTGTCGAGCGAACTTGACTTTGCCGAAATTTCCTTCGCCGAGAGTCCTTCCCAATTCGTACTTCCCCAATCGCATTCCCTTAACGGCTGCAACCTTATGCCCCGTTCCGCCGTTCAACGATGTACGCTTCGCTAGATCGTTATCGTCGCCGCCTCGCGCTTGTACCATTCCCTCGAGCTCGATTCAGCTCTTCTGGAACTCGAGTTCGATATCGGCTTCTTACTGTATATCTAAACGGAGAACGCCGAAGAGCGCCAGAAACTCTCGGAAGAATTAAACTGTACTCTCCGTCTCCGGCGGACCACTCCCGGCGTCTGTGTGTATTTCTCTGATGCGCGAGTTTCTCATCATTGCCAAGCCGATGTATATAAATGTGCGGAAGAAAGCAACGTGGACCGGGCCCCGCACGCCACCTATCGTGGAATTATATCATCGTGGGATCCATATAACGGCTTTTTGCACAATATACAATGGAGTTGGTAGTACGAAAAAAAATCTACACATAAAACTTACTCCTTATGTTACAAGAACAGGACAAGTGATCGACCCGGACAAATGATTAGATCACGGATCAGCTCAGACCCGACGGGTAAATCTAGTCAATATTTATAAATTACTACCTCCGTCCCATATTGGTTGTCCACTTTCAATTTGACAAAGTTATTAATAAAATGGTTGAAAAGTAAGAGCTTGTTTGGAGAACTCTGTTTTCGGCTTATCAGCCTTATCAGCCAGCTTTTTCATCAAACACGTAACATTTACTTTCGCGCGATGAATTGTGTAATAAGCCGAAAAAGTAAGGTTGAAGTTACTTTTCTGCCTGTATTGGCTGAAGTTACTGTAGAGGACCATTTTAGCTATTTTTACATATAATTTTTTCTTTAATTTATTAATAAAATATATTTTTAAAATATTTTTTCTTAAATCAGCAGAATCAGCCAAAACAGCCACTCCAGCCAGAATATCATAAATTTCAGCAGAATCAGCCAAAACAGCCGATTTTGGTGCTCTTAAACGGGCTCTAAAAGTTGTAGTTGAGATTTGAGTAAAATAAAGTAAAATGATAAAGATCACATATTTCTCGCCAAAAAAAGAAACAAAACATTCATTTTAGGACAACCTAAAAAGGAAAGTAGGACAACCAAAACGGGACGGAGGGAATACTATATTTAATATACATATAACTATACATAACTATTTTTCAGTTTTAAGAAATTTTGTATACACAATTCGTATTACAATAATATATTTTATATTTATTAATTATGTGTAAATTAATACTTAAAATTAGTTTTTTAACTTAATAATGTAACTAAAAAAAAGAAAAACATAGCATTGTATTTTACGATATAATTACGCTGAAATCACACATCAGAGAAATATGGGCAGATCAAAGAGAAGAAGATAAAGCAAGAGTCTTGATGGAGGGCGCATATGAAGTTATGGGCAGGTCACTTATACTTACGGGAGGGTTTTACTTTTGATGATGCGGAGTTCCTGAAGGTTCCTATCTGGCTTAAACTACCAAGTCTACCCATGGACTGCTGGGATGAAGAAGTTATCAACATGATTGCTTCCAGAGTAGGGGTACCTATATTCACTGATGGAATCGCAAACGAAAAGTCTAGGCTAAATTTTACTAGGATGTTGGTGGAGGTTGATGTGGCAATGCCTCCTCCTCTATTTGTTGACATCAAACTGCCACTGGGAGGATTAGAAGACAATTTGTGTTATATGAGACGTTCCCTAACTACTCTTTTCATTGCAAATGTTATGGACACCATCCTTTTACATGCAAGATCCTACATAAGCCGGAAAGGGAGAGGGAGATCGGTGCGGACCATGTGGTTTCTAGCGTCCAAATTATGCATCCCATAGAGCATGATAATGTACTCAAGGGGATTAGGGAAGAAGAGACAACAAAAAGCATAAATGAGGCTATCATTAGTGTGGAGGCACAGAAAGAAAAGGGCCAAGGAAAGATGATTGAAAATGTTTCCGGAGAACAGGTAAATGGGGGGGGGGCAAAAAGTGACACTGACGGGACATCAACCATGAAACCAATCTCTTTGGCGAAGAAAGTAGATAATAAAAAAGTCCACAATGAGGGAGGTAAAAGAGAAACTAGACAAAATCAAGGGGGGAGAGGTACAGTCACAAAAGTTCAAAATCCCATTGCAAGTGACAGTGGATTAGGAGTTGGAGACAAAGAAAAAAAAAATTAGAAGAGAAAAGTGTGAAATGTGATGAGGTTGGGGGTGGAGTTGTCACCAACTCTTCACTTTTGAAATGAAGTTACTCTCATTGAATGTAAGGGGTCTTTACAAGGCTACTAAACAGGATAACATTGTACATTATATTAGAAAATATAGCATTTCTTTTTGTTCCCTATTGGAGACCGAATTTGGAGATGAGGTGCGATTCAAAAAAGTTGTGGACAACAAATTGGGTGGGTGGAACTCGGGAAGTAATCTTAGCAAGATTAGAGGTGGGAGAATAAATTTGGTTTGGGATCCATTGAAAGTTGAATGTGAGATAATGGAAATTGAGCCTCAGTTTATGCATTGTAAGTTAAAGTGTACGATATCCCAGATTCCTTGCTTTGTTACACTGATGTATGCCCTTTATACGGTGGTGGATAGAAGGAAGCTTTGGGATCAACTAACTCTCATTGGTCAGGGTATTAACATGTAGTGGATCATTATGGGGGACTTTTATTGTATGTGCAGTCCAGGAGAGAGATTTGGAAGTGAAGAACCTATGGCATACCTTATGAATGACCTCGTGGCGTGCAGGAACTTGCTGGATTTGGAAGATGCTCCAGAAAGTGGGGAAGAGCAAAATCTACTATGTCAAAAGCTTGATAGAGTATTGGTAGAGCTTGATAGAGTATTGCTCCAGCAAGATGCTATAGCAAGTTTGGAAGATGGGCCAAGCTTGACAGAGTATTGGTCAATAATGCTTGGAAAGAGCAAAATCTACTATGTCATGCTGAGTTTCTTGGGTTTGACTAATCCTTTGACCACTGCCCCATTGTGGTAAACCTAATATAAAATGAAACAGGAGATTGTAAACCGTTTAGGTTTTACAATATGTGGATGAAATATCCACTATTCAATGATATCTTGAAGCAGGTGTGGGATAGACATGAAATATCCACTATTCAATGATATGACTACTGGCAACATGTACTTTGTCAAAACTAACAAGGTTAAAAGGGCCACTAAAGGAAATGAAAAAGACTGAGTTTTCTCATATTTCGACTAAAGCTAGAATAATTAAGGAGAAGTTTATGGATGCTCATAAAATGCTGGCTAGTGACCCTACAAATTCCCAACTAAGTGAAGTTGTTGATTTGGCTAGGAAGGCGGCTGAATTTTTTCTCCGAAGCTGAAAAAGTGTTTCTCCCAGCAAAAGGTCAAAGCCACTCATCAGGTGGAAGTTGATAAAAGCACGAAATACTTTTATGCTTTATCGAAGAAGAAAGCGGCCAAGAACTCAATATCCTTTATTACTAAGGCAATGGTATGAGTACCAATTCTTCAAAAGAAGTTGCTATTGAATTTGTTAATTTCATTCAGGAGCTGTTGGGTACCTCTAGTGATTGTATGCCTTTAAATGTTTATGTTATTAAAGGAGGAAAAGTTATCAAAGTTGACAAGTTAATCTTCTAGTCTCCCGAGTACTAGACTAGGATATAAAGGAGGCACTATTCAGTATTGGAGATGATAAAGCCTCGGGACCAGATGGTTTCTCTGCTGGATGTTTTTAACATTACTGGGGTGTAGTTGGGATAGATGTGACTAGAGGCATTTTGTAGTCTGGAGGGATGTCTTTCATCCCATATAAAACCTACGGAGTAATTTACATAGATTTGATGTGCTAGGAGTACGTTTTCATTAGATTCACATGTCATTAATAGAATAAATTGTTATTGATTTTAGCAGCTAGCTATAATATTACACGTGTGCAGTCCTTTTGGCATGTCGTGCTACTAATGCAAAGAAGATTAGAAACTGTCAAATTTTAACAAAATCCAATTTGTAGAACAAATAAAACAACTCACACACACACAATAACATCTGTACTTCTTAGATATTTAATAACTTGACTTAGCTAGATTTGTCAAACGACAATGTTTTGACCTTGAAGCTGTTTCCTAAAGCAAATTAAATACATATCAACGAGCTTTCTTTTGTTGAAACAAATAGTATAGGGTGTGGTAAGAAGTTATAGACCTTGTGACTTAAAACTTCTCTGCATGCATATCATAAAATATACTCGGTAGCATAGTTAAGACTCTGAACCGGTTGGTGTTATCTAGGTGGATTGTAAATTAATGGTCATATTAGGTTATTACCACTGTTTGTTTATACTAATAAACTTATAAACTAAAGTAAGTAAGAAACAGTAACTACAAACTAAGTCACAATAAACTAATAAACTTAAGTTAGGATAATAAGAAAATAAACTAAAATTTTTACCAGCTTTTTTACCATTTATGATAACATTTTATAAATAATCCCACCTTTCACAAATCTACTCAAAACGGTCCCATGTTTCTTTTTTTCTCCCTAAAATTTCTCTTTCTTTATTTTCATCCATAGACATTTTTTATTACTTTTTCCATCATTTTATTCTTATTTCTTTTCCATTTTTATTATTCTATTTTTCACTCTATTAGGAGAGATTTTTTTTTGTAAAATTTCTCTTCAAAATAGCTCTTTTTGTCGTTTTCTTTTTCTTTCCGTATTTTTATTTCATTTCCCTTTTTATGTCTTTCTTCTTAATCGTTCTCTTCTTATTAAAGATCTTATTTTAAAAGTGACAATAAAAAGAAAACATAACATAAAGTAAAATGAGAAAAAGATCTTTAATGAGAAGAGAATGATTAAGAAGAAAAACATAAAAATAGATATGAAATAAAAATATGAAAAGAAAACGAAAACGACAAAAAGAGCTATATTTTGAAGAGAAATTTTACAAAAAAAAAACTCTCCTAGTAGAGTGAGAAATAGAATAATAAAAACAGAAGAGAAATAAGAACAAAATGATGGAAAAAGTAATAAAAAATGTCAAGGGATGAAAATAAAGAAAGAAAAACTTTAGAAAAAAATCAAACATGGGACCGTTTTGAGCATATTTGTGCAAGGTGAGATTATTATTCATATAAGGTTTTCAAAGAAAATGTGAAAAACCTGGTATAGTAGGACATCAACAGGTTAGGGTCCAACAAAAGAAGATGACATGTAAATGTGAGATTATTCTGGGATTATGTAAATGTGAGATTATTATGAGAAGACCGGTAAAATGTGTGATTATTCTTGTCAATTAATTTTTCCTTTTATTTATTAAAAAGTAGCCTTCAATACTATAGTTTGCATCCCTTCAATTTATTAATCATAGTGCTTATATAATATATTTATAGGTCGTAGGGGTGGAAATAGGCCAGTCGGCCTATGGCCTGGTCTGTTAAAGGTCTGGCCTGTTTAGTAATCAAACTAGGTTTGGGCTTTTCAAAAAGCCCGTTTATCTAAATAGGTCAGGCCTAGCCGAACTCTGAAACCTTTTCACCTTAACAGGCCGGCCTATTTATATGTGTGTGTGTATGTATGTATGTATGTATGTATGTATGTATGTATGTATGTATGTATGTATGTATGTATGTATGTATGTATGTATGTATGTATGTATGTATGTATGTATGTATGTATGTATGTATGTATGTATGCAGAGGCGGACCCACTAAGGGTCCCATGGGGTCCCGGGACCCCGTGGACTTCCAAAAAAATACCTATATATATTATATATACTAGCTTTCAAGCCCGTGCGATGCACGGGCAGATGTAATTTAGCTAACTTGAAATTTGATTTCTTTCGGATCATATGTAAAGTGATTTAAAAGAAAAATAAATTTAGTCTAATATAGAGCCTGTTTGATAATACTAAAATAAATTGAATTAACTTATTTTACTCAAATTGATTAAATTATGACTGAATGTGTAGTATGGAGCAATGGTAGTATCCGTGGAGTTTAATTCTTCTCCCTACCGTAGGTGTGCGGTTCGAACCCCATGTATGCCTCTTTTATGTTTTTTTAGATTTATTAGGGAAAAAGACATTTATTAGAAATAATTTTTAAAAGAGTAAAGTCCTTGAGTAACACTAAAACATTGACAAATTGCACAAATGAGACCAACACTATTTTCTTCTTAAAATAGGACTCATAGACTCATAACTGATGATGTTTTATTATTTTAATAGAATCAAATAAGTCATATCTAGAGATTATAAACATAGTCTTATTTATGTACTTTGATAAAGTTTTAGTCTCATTTAGAGAAATAATTATTTTTACTAATACTAACTATTTGAATGTATACCAACAATAATATGTATATATCAACTTTTCACTAAAAAATCAGTCATTTAAATCATCAAAAACTAATAGCAAAATATCGAATAAGTCACTGTATTTTCAAATTTCATTTATTTATGGTTGATATTAGTTTTTATGTCTTAAATGATTAGATTTCTTGTAAAAAAGTGACTCCATTTTATTTTGTTCTACACTAAAATAGTTGGTATTATTGAAAGTTTTTTCTAAAGTATGTATTATTCTTATTCATGAAAGATAGTTGATATTATGTAAAGTTATTTTCCCTATATATTATTCTAAAATATCAAAACTACGTTGTATTGGCTTTAAAAATAATCCTAAACCACAGTCTGCATATCAATTACAATTAATTTTGACCAATGATATTTTTTAATAAGAGATTATTTTAAATATGAAAAATATGTCAAAATGTTCTTTATTCAAAACATTTTCATAAAAATATAAAATTTGTAAATTAAATACAAATATAATGATTAAAGTCATTCTCCAAAATTTTCTATTATTGACTAAGAAAAATTAATACGGCTAACTTTTTCGGAACAAATGTAATATTAATTAGAGTTACATTCGAGTAGGGACCCCGTGACATTATTTTTCTGGGTCCGCCACTGTATGTATGTATGTATGTATGTATGTATGTATGTATGTATGTATGTATGTATGTATGTATGTATGTATGTATGTATGTATGTATGTATGTATGTATGTATGTATGTATGTATGTATGTATGTATGTATGTATGTATGTATGTAGTTATATTTATATTTATTTATATTATTTATATTCATATTTATATTAGTATACTCAACTATAGCAAAATTGGTATAATAGTATTTTTAGGGAGTGTGTATTATAAATTAGAATAGAGTACTATTTTAAATATACATAAAGTGTGTCAATAGTTTATGAAGGTAATTGAAATTCAAAGTTTTTCAAGATTCAAAGTATGTGGAAATTTATAAACTACGGTGCTGTTCTTATTCTTATTACTTGTTGCTTATTCTTATTTTATTCAGATCAGATCATATCAGAAAAATTCAGATTAGATCAGAAAGATTCAGATCAGATCAGAATCATTCAGACCAGATCAGAAATATTCAGATCAAATAAGAAGCATTTACATCAGATCATATCAGAAAATTTCAAATATGATTTATCACTTTTATTATTATAAAATAATAATAATAATAATAATAATAATAATAATAATAGTAATAATAATAATAGTAATAATTATAATAGTAATAATAATAATAATTATTATTATTATTATGATTATTAATATTATGGTTATTATTGAGGTGATTTTTATTATTATTATTATGATTATTATTATTATTATTATTATTATTATTATTATTATTATTGTTGTTGTTGTTGTTGTTGTTGTTGTTATTATTATTGTTATTATTATTATTATTATTATTATTATTATTATTATTATTATTATTATTATTATTATTATTATTATACAGAGTAATTATAATTATAATTACAATTATAATTATAGAAATAATTATAATTAAAAATATAATTTCAATTATAATTATAGTTATAATTATAATCAGTGTAGTAGGTATAATTTTTCATAACTTTAATTATAATTATAATTATGATTATAATTATAATTAAATATTTTTAGAATTGTGACTATAATTATAAATTACATTTAAATTATATTTATACTTACAATTATAATTATAATAATTATAATTATAATTAAAGAAATATTCATGTTAGATAAGAAAGATTCAGATCAGATCAGTAGGATTCAGATCAGATCAGAAAGATTAAGATCAGATCAGACCAGATCAGAAAGATTCAGATCAGATTAGATCAGATCAGAAAAATTCAGATCAGAACTTAATAAATTCAGATTCGAAACATTCGGATCAGACGAAGAGAACAGCTTCTACATAATAATACTCCATAATAATGTATTATTAGACACCCAAAGCAAAAATAACATATTATTAGACTTTTTAGTGAATATTTGAGAATAAATTTTATACTGGGTTAAAAAGATTTTTCACTTTTCATTTTTTATTTTTTTTTATTTTTTTGTTTTTTTCTTAACAGGCCCGGTAAAAGGCTTCAGGCCAGGCCAGACTTTTAAACAGGCCAGGCTCAGGCAAAGAAAACAGGCCTTTAACAGGTAACAGGCCAGACTCAAGCCTATATATTCTAAAACAGGCCCGGCCTGTTAAGGCGAAAGCCTGGCCTGGACTGACATGTTTCCACCCCTAATAGGTCGTTCAAAGAAGTTGCTCTTAAAGGTAAAACATGGGCAAATAGATACAAAGTTGCAAAATCGATGCAAAGTTGATATTCATATATCTAGTATGGTTAATCAGCTCTCGAACCTATCACTCAAATACTTACCGTTTTCACTATGTTTTTTTGTTGGAACAAGGAGACTTCAACTGATATCCAAGCATTCAGCAAGGGATCGAACAAGAAGATAAAGGGACCCCTTCAAACCATCGACTCTCGAACCAGACTTAGATCCAGTCACCCTAGCAATATGGCTCGTTGATCATGTAGTGGGTCTAAATGAGCCTAACGTGGTAGAAATAGACCCCTCTCATCGCCCCAACCTAATGCAAGAGTCTGACTGAAGTAAAAACAACAGGATAAAACAAAGATAGTCTAATCAAAATAAACAATGACAAAGAAAATAAAGTAGTGGACTCCTAGAGGCATCCTTCCACAACTGACAAACAACCTCCAACCTCTGTTATCCCGGATCAGCTTCAGGTCTCTCGGTGGGTCTAGGGGTCCAGACACCCCCCCCCCCCCCCCGTCATTTTTTGACAAGTCCATGGCCTTATTATCTCCTCCACCTTCCTCAG